TCTCAACATGCTCTGTGAGTCAGTTACAATGACGACATGTGTGTAAAGCTGATTCTCAAGCCAGAGGAAGGCAGCAAAGACTGCCTCCACCTCCATTCTCAAACTAGACGTTGTGATATCATATGAAAGGCTTTGCTGCACTAAGCGACGTCCATTCGGCTTTGTATGAAACATCATGCACTTCATCTGCCTCTCAGCACAGAGCCATCTGTATAGATAATCACATCACTTGGGTGGGTATTGTCATAAATCCTTTGTTGAAATTCTGATTCTGCAGCACCAGCTGGCCAGTCTCTGCACTCACGACCTAACGTGATTAGAACCCTACACTCTGAAACTTGTTCGGACACCTTGACCCACTCCTCTTCTCGCTCAAAATTATCAAGCCTGCACACATGTCCAATTGTGTCTTTAGCTTGCGCCACCCAAGACCTTCCTCTTTTCAGTCTGTGACGCTTAGATCTACCCAGGGCTTCATGCAGGAGGTGCTTCTTGTCTGCAGCTAGATATGACTTTGCCTACATAACTTTGAGCTTATCTGTAATAGTAGGTAGTGAAAGTATATATCACATACATACTACCGGGGCATCTCTTGTACATCCCAGAATTACCCGCATGGCTTCATTCTGTATGCGTGCAGGTTTCATCAACTGACTCTTCGATATGGTGAGCATTCCAAGCCCATAATCGAACACTGACAGGATCACATGCTGGAACATTGTGAACAGCATTTTTTGTCCCATATCCATTGTTGTCATAATCATAAGAGCATTGAGTCCTTTTCTGGCATTTCGTCTTAACTGCCCCCACGTGATGTGTTTAGGACAGGCTGCTATCGAAAGTGATATAACCAGGTAACTCAGTTTGTTTTCTCTTATGATGTTACTGTTATTAACTGTGATGCTTGGAACATTAGCTCTTACAATTCTATTGTCAAGAGAGCACCACAAAACAGCTGCCTTTTCTGAGTTGATAACAGCTCCCATTTAGCTAGATATTTTTGGTGACCCACCCGAACTTTTCCTGGCCCACCAGTGGGTCATGGCTCATGAGTAAAGAACACTGAGCTAGACGGCTGGTAAGCAAGTCTCGATAGCAGCGGTTTTCAACCCTTTTCAGGTCAGCTAACTTCTCCTAGTTTCATAAGGTCAGCTAACTTCTCCTAGTTTCATAAGGTCAGCTAACTTCTCCTGGTTTCATGGAGTCAGTTAACTTCTCCTGGTTTCATCAGGTCAGCTAACTTCTCCTGGTTTCATCAGGTCAGCTCACTTCTCCTGGTTTCATTGAGTCAGTTAACTTCTCCTGGTTTCATCAGGTCAGCTAACTTCTCCTGGTTTCATTAGGTCAGTTAACTTCTCCTGGTTTCATCAGGTCAGCTAACTTTTCCTGGTTTCATCAGGTCAGTTAACTTCTCCTGGTTTCATCAGGTCACCTAACTTCTCCTAGTTTCATAAAGTCAGTTAATTTCTCCTGGTTTCATCAGGTCAGCTAACTTCTCCTGGTTTCATCAGGTCAGCTAACTTCTCCTGGTTTCATCAGGTCAGTTAACTTCTCCTGGTTTTATCAGGTCAGTTAAATTCTCCTGGTTTTATCAGGTCAGGTAACTTCTCCTGGTTTCATCAGGTCAGTTAACTTCTACTGGTTTAAACAGGTCGGCTAACTTCTGGCTCGCTATTTCCTCCGCCAGGATCTCCTGGTTTGTGCCCGGTAGACACTGAATGTTCAAGCGGTAGTGATTGTTTCTGTAACAGCCTACTCTTGACCACTGCTAGACTGATCAGCCAACCATTATAAAGATACTGATCAGCCAACCATTATAAAGATACTGATCAGCCAACCATTATAAAGATACTGATCAGCCAACCATTATAAAGATACTGATCAGCCAACCATTATAAAGATACTGATCAGACAACCATTATAAAGATACTGATCAGCCAACCATTATAAAGATACTGATCAGTCAAACATTATAAAGATACTGATCAGACAACCATTATAAAGATACTGATCAGCCAACCATTATAAAGATACTGATCAGTCAACCATTATAAAGATACTGATCAGACAACCATTATAAAGATACTGATCAGACAACCATTATAAAGATACTGATCAGTCAACCATTACAAAGATACATTTACGGGCAATAATATCTACACTGTGTAAGTCAATCAATAATAACATTACTGTGCATGGCAAAGAAATAAAAGCAAACGAGGAACACATAAAGATGGCAACTAGACAATGAAGATACAGAAATGTGGAGAACAGCTGCATATGAAAATAAAGGATAGATCAACATGTAATTAGTTGAAGGTTTCTGCTCCATTTGGGTATGAAGGGAGAAGTCAGAACAGAGTATGCCAACCACTAATAGTGGTTTTTTTTTCTGTTTTGAATTCTCACAAACCATTAACTTATTCAGCATCACACAATACACCAAATATTTAATAATAAGTTTATTGAATAATCCACTTTTCATAATTCCGTTTCTTATGGCTGTTATTTTATGCAGCTCTGTCCCATAACTTTTATTTATTGTATTTGTAAGCCCCCTTTCCCTTGACCAAACATCAGCATCACTCTTCATTTACAGACTACCAACAAGAGGTTGTTCAGTTATTTACTTCAGTTGTAAACTGTGCTGAAGTAATTACCCCTAACTATATACACAAGAGATAAAACAAATGTGCAAGTTATCAACCTAGTAGAGCAATGATAATTAATACAAGACAAAACTTGTAATCATAAAAGCAGTCAACATATAGAAATGTATTACAACTACTAGCTATATTTTGCAGTTCTTAGATTGTTACCGCTCTGTGCAGCTACACATGTTGTGCACGGCATAAATACAGCCCTGATTCCAGTTGTTAGTTAACTCTTTCAATAGGAATATTTAGAGTCAGAATTAGTTTTGTTATCACTGAATTAAATAGAATAATTTACAGTAACAACTGAATTAGATAGAGTTACAGTAATTCTTGTGTAGCAATATTGCCTTTCAAGGAGTTACAATGAAGGAAATTATGATACTCACTGACATAGCAACAACTTTAAAAGTCCTAACAAAAACTGGAGCTCCAAGTTACATAACTTTAAACTATGAATCTTCAATTCTAACCTTAATTCAGTTCTAACATGTGTCAGTGAATGTTGGAGAACCAACATAGATATGGAAGGAAAGTTACATGCATTTGGAAAAAAAATGTCTGAGAAATATGGTGAACATAAAATGGGATGAATTTAAAAACCAGTGACGAGATCAGAGAAATGTCTGGACAAATATCTGATTCCGATGCAATAAGACAAAGAAGGTGGAAATATATTGGGCACACGTTGAGATGAAATAAGCAAAGAATTACAAAACAAGCACTGAAATAGGAAATAAATGGTCTGAGTAAAAGAAGACATCAAGGTAACAAATTAGGAAGAACATTATTATGAGAGGCTAAAAATGGTGGGCTGAACTCCTGTGTCAGAAATCGAGAGAGTTGCATGCATACTGAGTAGAGTGGAAGAATTGAGAGTTTCATGCATACTGAGCAGAGTGGAATAATTGAGAAAGTTGCATGCATACTGAAAAGAGTAAAAGAATCGAGAGAGTTGCATGCATACTGAGCGGAGTGGACAAATCAAGAGAGTTGCATGCATACTGAGCGGAGTGGAAAAATTGAGAGATTTGCATGCATGTTGAGCGGAGTGGAAGAATTGAGAGAGTTGCATGCATACTGAGCGGAGTGGAAGAATTGAGAGAGTTGCATGCCAACTGAGCGGAGTGGAAGAATCGAATGTGAGCCCTATATGATGTCTGACAGCACATAAAGGATGATGATGATCATTTTTACTTTTCCATAATCCACAGATGGTAGTGCTTTACAAACAATGTTTTCCTTAGAAAAAAAACCTCATCACTGACACTTTCACATCAGTGAAATATAATAATCAGACTCTGAATCACTCTCAGTCAGACTGTTAGATTTTGCGAGTATTTCTGCTAGCACAAGATGAGATTTTGCGAGTATTTCTGCTAGCACAGTATGCTTGCAAGCTTGACTTAAACAGAAGTCTGTCTTTCAGCACTTGAGGTAACGGAAGTGAGTCCAGCCTGGTCTCTCGTCCAGGGGCTGACCCCACGGCTGCAGAGACTCTCACCAGACACAGCTTGAACAGAGACATCATCTGGGAGGACAGTTCATGAAAAAAAATCTGTGGATAACATGAACCTTTTCGTTGAAGGAAGTTCAGTATATTCCTGTTAGATGTAAACAAGGACATGTCCGAGCTTGTCAGAAATAACATATTCATAAAATATCTGGCAAGAAGGTTATGACCATGCCACAATGCAACAAGGAGTGGTGATACAGCAGGCCGAGAAAAAGACAATATGATTTGAAAATCTGTTTTGTTTGTCTTAATATCTGCTGGTCCAAGGCCATGCTGGATGAGTTTATGGATTACACGAATTTGATTAGCAGCTATTAATTCTTGAAAACATTCATACCTGAAATAGGAACAATTAGCACCCTTATTTATTAATTTTTGAATGCATGAAAATGAATTATTTACAACACTATCTTTAAAGTCTGGCAGAAATGAAAGTGCTGTTTGTGATGTGTTTTTCTTACTGACAGCATTGACATCGGCCCCAGCATCCAGCAATGGAGAGATCACAGATGCCATAGTTCTACTAGCAGCCAGCATTAGGGGAGATAAGCCATCACTGTTCTGAGAGTTGACATGGCTCCCAGCTTCATGCAGAACAGTCAAGATCTCTTCTCTATTGCGTGGACAGGTTATCAGTAGATGATGTAGGGCTGAATTGTCTCTGTTATCTTTCATATTTACATCAGCACCCTTTTCTAGCAGCTCTTTCACAACTGGAACATTTCCTTTCTGGACAGAAAGTATAAGAGGTGTTAATCCTTCATTGTTCTGATTGTTGATTTGACTTTTCTTGTCTCTCGTGGAGTCCATCAAACAAGTCACATTCTTACAATTCTGGCTCATGACAGCATTCATGAGGACAGTATTGCCTTTGTGATCAATGTCGTTAATATCTGCACCATTCTCTAACAACATCTGTAGCAGGCTCACAGAATCTTTTTGAGAAGCTGCCATCATCAGTGGTGTTCTACCTTCTCCACTTCTATGGTTGACCGCAGCTCCATGGTCTACCAAAACTTTACACAGCTCAAATTTAGATGTACTAGACAGGTCTATGCCATTAATCAAATGAATCAGTGCTGTCTCAATGCCATTCCTATCTATTATTTCTCTGTTGACGTCAGCTCCTCTCTGGATGAGAAACTCAGCAACTTCTCTGTTCTTTGAAGCCATTAATGGGGTCTCTCCATATGAGTCTGCTTCATTGACACCAACGCCAGCATCCAGAATCTGACCAATGACTTCAAAATCTCCATTTTCTACTGCTGATGTTAGCAAGTTTCTAGCTTCAAGAGGGTCTTGTAAAAAATAATTCATCACTTCACGGTTGTAATTCTTAAGAATAAAGAAAAAGTATTTTGGCTTCTGATTGTCTATTGCAGATCTCAAGGCACATTTAACGTCCATTTGAGCCCCACTTTGGATAAGCAGCTGGGTACACTCTGTGTGATCATTTCTGAGTGCACAGTCAAGAGCTGACTGAAAAAAATTAGATGTGTGATCATCAGTTTTATATTTCAGCAAAAGTTCAATCAGATCTCGGCGACCATTTTCTGCTGCTATACACAAAGGATCTTGTTCATCTGTGTCATCTGTCTTCAGATCTGCACCCTGTGTGCACAGCAGCTCCACCAACTGGAGATTTCCTGACTCTACCGCAAGAGAAATCAGGCTGGGTCCATCACAGGGATTTACATCGGCCCCATATTGCAGCAACTTCTGAATGATTTGAACATCAGCTGAACTAAATCTTTCTCCACTCTTATTTTGGTTGTTTCTAAACACATACTTCAAGGCACAATCAATTAATTTTTTCTTCTCTTCTACAGAGGAAAACTGACAATCCAGAAAAATATCAAGTGATTTTGTATCACCAGCCTTAATAGCGAGTTCTAGCGGTGATGTCTGAGTAGTTAAATGATCTTGAAGAATTTTATAAACAGCTCCGAGTCCAGTTATTTCTACAGCAACCTGATGTCTAACCTCCTGAGATCTGTGATTGTAAAAACTGAAATCTTTTTCTTGTCTGATCATAGAAATATCTCCATTATTCTGGACAGTTTTTCTCATCATGCTTTTCTGTAACAACAATCTCATTGTATCCACATCCATGAAGTGGGTTGCCCTGAGGAGAGCTGTGTGTCCGTTTTGGTTCTCGTGATGGATGTCAACTTCTTGTTGCTCCAGGAGGAACCTGGTCAAGTGGGTAGACCCTGCAGAACGCACCGAGAGAATCAAGGCTGTGTTACCAACACAATTCACAGCGTTGACATTTGCGTGTCTTGATACCAGAAATCGAACAATGTCTGTGAAGCCATTTTCAGCACAAATCAACAATGGGGTGTTTCTGTGTTCATCCCAGTGCTCGATGTTTGCTCCTGCCCAGACAAGTGTCTGAACAAGTTGTTTATGCCCTTGTCTACATGAAGAGATCAGAGCTTGGTTGAGCTCCTCCTGGGTGTAGGAGTTCTCTGATGTAAGTAGTGCCATGGCTTTGCATGATGTTTCAGAATTTATAGATTCCAATAGTTTTCTATCATATGATGGTTGATGACAGTGAATTATATCGGAAGAATCCTTGTCAATCATTTCTGCCATGTTAGGCTTTTTCTTCTTCCTATTGTTAACTGAATAACTGACTTCTGAAGGGTTGTCTATTTCAGGTGACAATGCCCCAGATGAAGTGAGAGGTAATGGTCCAGTTGTAACCACAACATGGTTTTGAAAAGTCATCAGCTCACCAGAACTACGAAGGACTCGGGAATGTGAAATTGTATTTACGGTTGACTGACGAGGTATGTCTGCTGAACCAGCCTGTCTGCGTTTCATGTTTCTGGTTTTTCCTGACATCGTCTGACAGCTGCAATGATATACAAAAAAATTGATGGTGATGAAATGTTTACAACTGTTTACACAAAGAAAGAAATATATCACAATCAAATTACAACTGAGCCAGCAAACTCTGTTTAAATTCTGTGAATGTCAAGCTACAGGCAATATTGAGTCTTTAAAGAATTTAGTGTTGTCACTCAGGCAACTCTCTGTCTCTCTATCTGTCTCTCTCTTTGTCTCTCACTCTGTCTCTCTCTCTGTCTGTCTCTCTCTCTCTCTCTGTCTGTCTGACTCTCTCTCTCTCTCTCGCTCTCTCTGTTAGTCACAGTAAATTAGGAGATCAAAATGTATTGGGAGTGACTTCATGAAATATTTAGGAAGATTTTGTTCCCATTCTACTTAAGTCAAAGGTTAAGTTTCTTATAACTGTAATAATAATATACTGTCCTTTCACGTTACTGAAAATATAACCTGCTTGTCTCCTCCATTACTACCCTCTACTACTGTTGCTTTCTCCCTGGAAATAATCTTGGTGCTAAGCAGCAGTAGATCTGAGTTGTACATGCACATGTAATCCACAGATACATGATATGACATGTGCATACACTTCCAGTCAATATAAACACAACCTGAACAAGATGGCTAGGGTAAACAAAAGCTAAGAATGTGGATGACAGATTTTGTTTTTTAATTTCTTTTTGTTTTGTTGATATTTTAGTTTCAGTTTCTATAATAACTATCCTGTAAGAAGTATATTCTTAAAAGTTGCTCTGTTTAAAGCTTGTTAAAAGGACTTTATTCTTTGCTAGTTCACTTACCTCATGTATATTCTATTTCATGGTGCTTTTACTTTCCTGTGTTCAATGTCTTGGAGATTGACAACTGCCTCTTCTTCCATTAACCAGGCCTTCTATTTCTAATACCTTCTTCTTCTTCTTCACTTCCCCTTTTACCGCTGAGAGTGTAAAGGGAGATATAAGGTTCTGTCTCTAGCTCTTCTGGCCGCCTCGACCATAGGCACATCGTGCTGTTGTCGAGTTTCTCTGATGTTATCCTTCCAACTTGTTTTTCGCTTTTCTGTCTCACAGTCCCTTTACATAGCCATGGTCAGATACCGTTTGATCAGTCCGTTTATATCTCATTGTGTGTTCTGTAACGATAATAAATCCATTGCCGGCTTGCTAGGCCTGTCCCAACTTCACCAGAGCCCCGTTGGCCAGGACATTTCGGGCTGACCCAGGGTGGCCTTCATGGCTGCCGTAGCAGTCCCGTGGCACGAGGCTACACCATACTTCGCCCACACCTAGCAATCCCTTATTTTGTTCTGTTACCACCTCTCACGACGAGGACGTGGGGTTGGTCTTTGAGAGGCTTCTAATACCTGATAGTGTTTGTCAGCTGTTTTATGCAGTGGTAATCATTTAAACAACAAAACCTGTTCAACCCATCTGAGATATACAGTTTTTGTCCTTCTATTATAATACTGAATATTTATGCTTATCAATTATCTTTGTTTATTTATTCTTGCACATATTAGGTATTAATTTAACAGACTGTAGCAGTATAAATTATTATGCTTAATGTATTTCAGGCGTACTTTTTTAATTGTAATAATCATATTGTGAATAATCTGTGCTTGTGAATTTTTTAAGTGATGTGGTATAGCATTATTCCGTCTTATGATACATTAATACCTCATACTCAACACCATGTTCTATGGTGTACTCTTTAATCCTTTTATCTCCAAGCAACACAGCGTGTGTTGACTGAGAAGTTCTGATTTGACCAAACAACACAGACTGTGTCACCTGTGTGTACCACACATACTGATTCACTTACTGTTCTGTACTAGTTCCTAATGTTTCAAAGTATATTTAGAATATCAGGGAAGGTTACTCTAACGTTTTTGTTTCTTCATAAGTCTTATTGTATAAATTTAGGTGTCACATTTGTCAAATTTATCGCAACAGCCATTTTCAGACAGTGAATGTTCTGATTTTGTCTTTGATTTACCACAAATGTTCAAGGCATTAAGTGCAGGCTGCAAGATGTGCCTTTCTACGGCTTAAGCCCTTAAATTGTTTCGGTCAGATGTTTTTAATTCTGATTATGATAATAAAAACTTAAATTTGTTGGAAAGTGATTCAAATGCTGAATTTACACCAATGACAGCTGAGCAGTCAGCTGTTAGAGAATCTAGCTGTTCTAATGAGTTTGACATAGAAGATCCATTTCATGTGCAAAGGATGTGACAGTCACCCACATTTGCATTCAAAGGACTGTTTCAAACAGTCCCTTACTATGCTGTGAAATCATTAGAGCTAAGTCTGTAATATTTTGTGTCTGTCGGTCAAGTTTTCTTTCAAATTATGTTCAGCACTGTATAAGAACGCCGGCGTGATGCTGACCACATCACCCATCTTGTGCCAATTGGTCTATAAAGTATAGGTCTAGCCCTATATGCCCAAAGGTATGGAAAAGGATTTTTTACTTACTGTATAAGAACCCAGAGCCTCTGAGTGATAAACCAGCCCAAAAACTATCATAACTTTTGAACTTATTGGGAAACTCAATAAACATTAAAGTTCTACTCTCAAATGTAGATTTTCACAGCTCCTGAAGGAGCAAAACCTTGATAAGTGCAGAATTATTTTACAAAACATTGTCTTAGTAAACATAACACCTGCTGAATGTTTTTCCCCCCTACTAATTATAACAGCACTAAACACTGACACACCAATCAAATTTAAAATGTACAATCATTCCTCTTCACACACACAAAACACACACTTAGGTGTGCGATTAGAAGAAATATTACATTCTCTATTGCTTTATTTTACATCACCCCCTCTGTAATTTTTGTTAGGAGAAATTAATGGAGCCAAAACTGTCAAAATTCATGGACCTAATCATGGAGTTAATCATTCCTGGCAGTCAAGGCTGTGATTAGGATATATGAAGCCCTGTGTGGTCATCCACCCCCCCCCCCCCCACCCCCAACACACCCCCTTTCCTGCTGTCCTTGGTGAAGATTAACAACAATTAGCAACAGATGAAACAAATGTCCAAGTTGGGGTCCTAATGCAGTAATGATGTGCAATACAAGATGAAACCTTCATAATAAACACATGAAGATATTGACATATTTTAGCTTCTAGTTCTATGTTGCTGTTCTCAGAATTTTGCCAGCTACA